CTCACGAAACACATTTCCGACCCGCTTCGCACACCCTGCATACCGCGGCCGCCAGGCACGAAGCTGGGCGCCCGAGTTACCCGGGGTAACTCGGGCCCGGGGTAACGCGGGTTCGGACTCCCGAAACACGAACCCGAGTTAGCCCTGACCCGAGTTACCCCTGATGATGTGGGGCTCTGGGCGCCCGAATTACCCGGGGTAACTCGGGCCTGGGGTAACGCGGGTTCGGACTCCCGAGAAACGAACCCGAGTTCACCCTGACCCGAGTTACCCCATGATGATTCGGGGCTCTGGAAATTTCCGACCCGCTTCGCACACCCTGCATACCGCGGCCGCCAGGCCCGAAGCGTGCCGGTGCCCCCTGGGTGTGCGGCCTCGTGCCTTCGACGAATGGCGGCCGCATGCCGCGGCCGCCGGCGCCCCGAGGCTGCCGGTGCTCCCGGGAGCTCCCGCCGCGCCCTTCTCGGATGGCGGGGGCCTCTCGTGACTGCCTACCAAACCACCCCAACCCAACCCGAAGACCCGAATTTCGGGTTGGGGGGGGGTGCGGGATCCATGTGTTTTCTCAGCGTTCCCCGACCCCCCCCCCAACTGGAAGTGGAGGGCAAATCGGGGCCTTCGGGTTGGGTTGGGGTGGTTTGGTGGGCGATGATCTCGGAGCAGAGCATAGATTCTCCTTCGGTTCCTGAGGGCATAGGCGCCCACCACGACGGCGGTGACGCCCGCCGGGACGGCCACCGCGAGGGAGCTTGCGAGGGGCGAGGGGCAGCGAGAGGGGAGGCGCCGACCGCGGATAGATCGGCGATGTGCCCCCGATAGAATGCATCCGCTCGTTCCTGGGCGGGGTGGGGCTATCAGACCCCTCTCGGCAATCAATGGGCGATTGGGGGTCGATGCATCGCCCCTTATTTGGCGGCGGGCGAGGGGGCGGAGAAGCGAGTGGGGGCGGGCCTTCTTAGAAGGCTCGGAAAACCCTGGGCTTTCTGACAAGTTTTCTAAGCCTTCCTGGAAGACACGGGTAACCAACCTCTGAAGGCCCGAGGGCTTCCGAGAAGTCCCGCCGCCTGCTGAGAAGGCCTTCCCCTTCTCATGCCCCCCCCTCGCTCGCCGCCGACCTGAGCCTATCTCCCCCCCATCGCTGCCCCTGGATGGGGCTGCTGGACTCCGTCCTGACCATGGCGCCGCTCGGCCGTGGAGGCGCCCGCGGCGGCTGCGGCCCACGCCCTGCTGGGCGCGCCGGGCCTCGGGCTGCGGTCCGCGGCTGCTCGAGCCCGGGGCCAGAACGGCTGCAGCGACGGGGACGCGCCTGCCGCGGCCGCTGGGTCGCCCTGCGCTGCCTCGCTCTCGGGATCCGATGGCACCTCGTCGCCCGCTGGCGCTAGCTGGGCCCTCGCGGCGATGGCCTTGGTCAGGCGGTGCTTGTGGCGATAGTCAGGGTCCGTGGTGTTCTCCGGAGGAGGAGGAGGAGGAGGACGAGGAGGAACCAAAGAACGAACGAATCACCACTGCGGACCATCGTCCGGGCCTACCAGGCTGAGACCAGGTGGGGGGGGCCATGGCCTGCCGGAAGTGAAAGCATACGCATGCACCATGCCTGCGAGACGAGCAGCTAGTCAAGACGGGGGAGGGAGGCCGAGGACAAGGGAGATGAGGAGGGACTTTCAATGTCCCGCACGTGATCTCTTCCTTGCTTGCACCGCTTGGGGCCTTTGGCCGCCCGCAATCGGTATGGAACACATTGGTACGATGCCCAACATAACATGTTGCCCAAAACCGACAGCGACCGCTATTGGGCAGGCGAGCTTGTGTTTCAAATGAACATCGGCCGCGGCGGCGCCGACGGCGAACCCTGTTCAGACTGAGTAAGAACTGCTGTTGGACTTTGCAATCGTGTGTAGGCAACATTGAAATCCATATCCAGGGCGCCGCAAGGCCGAGGCGCACTGGATATGGGATATGGATAAAGATCTAACCTCTATGGGTCTCTAGAGTCCCCCCCATCATCGAAACGAATACGGCACCCTTAATGACGAACTGGGGCCCCAGCAATCATGGAAACTCCGCCGACCCCTCTTGCCGGGGGTGACAAGGCGTGTGAGACATTTGGCTGTCCCCCTCCCCCTTTCTCCCTCCCCCTCGTCTCCCAAATCGGCTCGAGCCAGCTGGGCCCGAACCCCGAGCAAGCACCACTGGAGCTTTTGGACGCCCGAAATGGGTACGGAAAGAATGGGCACTATGCCCAACAACAAATGTTGTCCCAAGCCAACAGCGGCCGCTGTTGGGCAGGCGGCCTTCTGTCTCGGATGGACACGGGCCGCGGCGGCGTGGACAGCGAGTCCTGCTCAAACTGAACAGGATCCGCTGTTGGGCATTGTACCCATTCTTTCCGTGCCCATCTCGGGGGGAGGCAAGAGGAGGCAGGAGGAGGAGGAGGAGGAGGAGGAGGAGGAGGAGGAGGAGGAGGAGGAGGAGGATCGTCCCTCCCTCTCCGCAGTCTTCCCCCCCCGTGTCTGGGCCGCGCGCCGGCCGCTGCGACGCCGCGGCGAAGAGGCGGCCCCACCGCGCGGCGGGTAGCCGAGCGCAGGGCGCAACACATCTCGGCGGGCCGAAGGGCCGCGCGGCGGGTCGCCTCCCGGGCGCCCTCCGCGGCGCTGCAGGAGCCTCGAGGCGTGGCGCCCACATCGCCTAAAATCACGTGCCGCCCTCGCTGCGGCGCTCCAGGCGCCCAGGGCGCCTCCGGGCCCATCGGAGGGCCACTGCGGGGGGGGGGGGACCTCCCTGGGCGAGGGCGGGGGAGCGATGCGGGCGCAGGGCGGCGGTCGGTGCGCTCGGCGCGGCGAGGGGCTCGGCGGAGGCCGGGCGTGCGGCCTTAAAACAGGGCTAGGATCGGGATAAGTCGCTCCAGAGCGTTCCGGAGCGCTCTCAGAGCGTTCCGGAACGCTCTGGAGCGGCCGCGGCGCCCAATACATCCTCCAAACCCGCCGATTCTCAGAGATTTCGAATTACCCCGATCCGATTTTGTCCCGATCTTCGCGTCGTTTTAGGCCTTGCAGCCGAGGCCAGTCGCCATGGAGTCGCCGAGCGGCTACTGCAGGAGTTCTTCGACACAGCCCTTCTGTTCAGAGGAGCGGAGGCGCGATCGCTTTGTCGGAAGACGTACTCGCTGGCCTAAGCGCGAAGACGGCGCAGCATGGACAGTCACCCGCGTCTGCTCCAAGTTTCCCGTCTGGGTCAAAGAGCGAGTGCCCACAGCAGTATGCTGCAATATCTGTTGAGGGTTGTCGCACACATCTGCATCTGTGATTTTCGCCTGGCATTTTGTTAAGGCCGCTGGCAAGCAGTTCAATTCACGGCCGGCACTTCTGTACTTGCTTCCTCCACGGCAATTGGGTGGCTGCGTGCAGTGTGACAGCGTGTCTTTCAAGGGCTTGATTTGTATTGTCAGCTGTAGCTTTCATTTTCCACCTTGGGGCATTGTGGTTTCGCTCGATTGAAATAAGGTGAACACATTTGCATGTGGGCGGTGTGGAGGAACACGATCACTTCGCGCTTGTGCCGGTACAGTGCCTCGTGGTCTCGCACGGCTTCCCTTTCGTCTCGGCGCTGGAGGAGGTCGGGGTGGCGGGCAGCGTAGAATCATAAGACATCGTCTTGGAGCCATTCCCACTCCCCCTTGTCTCCAAAATGCCATTCTTGAAGGGGCCCTGGGGCACACAAATGAATAGACACAATAACATGATTCCCCATATTTTCCCACATTTCCTGGGTTTTGTCTTCCCCCCCACTTCCCATATTTTCCCATGTTTTCTGGGAGTCGACAACTCATTGTGTCTGTGTGTTTTTTTTCCCTCCGGAATTCTATGGGAGGGGGAAGCTCGTCAGCGCCCCCCCCGGGGCCTCGGGAGCCCCCCCCCCAAAAAGCCCCAAGACCGCCCAATGCAGGGCCCAGGCAGAGCGCCAGGACAGTCGAAGAGAGTGCCATGACGGCCAAGGGTAACCCCACGACAATCCGGAAGATGGCTTCAGGATGGCCCAAGAGGCCCCCAAGACAGCCCAAAAAGCGCCTCCTGAGGATCGCCGAAAGGGGCCCCGAGAGGCCAAACTCACCCCTTTCCTTTTGGAAACAAGCGTCTATGTTTGAGCACGTTGGCATTTTTCGTTTCGACAGCCACCACGACGGCCCCAGTGGCCCCCAAGAGGTCATCCCAAGACGGCCCATAATGCCTCCAAGAGGGCCCCAAGACGATCCAAGAGGGCCCAAAGACAGACCCAGGGCCCCCCAAGATGGCCCAAGAAGGGCTCCAAGAAAGCCCAAGAGGGAGAATACGAACTGACATTTCGAGCCTTTCCCAACAATGTGGCCCCTCAAGCCCCCCAGAAGCCCCCGAGGGCCCTCCAAGAGACCCCAAGAGGCCTCCAATACGCTCCCTAGAAGCCCCCGGAGGCCCCCACGAGGCCCCCAGAAGCCTCCCACATGTCCCAAAGAGTTCTCCAAGAGGCCCACGAGAGGCATCCCAAGAGACCCCCAGCTTCATTCAGAAGGCTCCTGACACAAAATGTGACTTCCACGATTGTCTCAAACTCTCATTCCTTGTATGGGTCGGCGGACTGGCGTAAGCCACTTGGATAATTATTTTGTCCGCAGCACCTGCCGCACAACAACGACAAATATTAGGACGACGATTATGACAACGACCACGATACGACGACGAGTACGACTACAACTACGACTACGACTACAACCACGACTACGGTCACGACTACGATCGCGACTACAATCACGATTACAATCACGATTGCAACCACGACTACAATCACGATTACAGCCACAACGACTGAGTCCTGTTGCAACCCCATGAGAAGATGCTCATGTATCCTCTAGCGTGTAGTATAGCCAACGATTGAACAATCCCTGGGGAACAGACCCCCAAACCTTATCCAGCCCGCCCAAACAATCTGCCGACCCTGTCGGCGTGCGCTCGGTCGACGCATCCGTTGTCTTCTTTCCCTGCGTCTCCGTCGCCCCCTTTCCCTGTACCCTCCGCTTCAAGCCTGCCAGCGAGAGAAAACCGTAGCAACGTCGTACATAAGTCGAAGGGAAGCCCCTTCCCTTTGATCCCTCCCCCGCCGAAGGGGGGGGGGGTCCCGGGGGGGGGTCAGATACGAATCCGCCCCTGGGCGTCCCAGAGCCCCAAGAAGCGCCAAGACGCGCTAAGAGGGCCCCGAGCAGGCCCAAGAAGAAGACCACGAACCGACATTTCGAGCTTCCCGCCCCAAGAATCCCCTGCAAGGCCCCAAGAGCCCCTAAAGGGGCCCGAAGAGGTCCCCAAGAGGCCCAACAGAGGCCCCAACAGGCCCGAAAACATCCAAAAGGCCTTTCAACCACAACCCCAGCACGGTGGCGGGAAGGGCCACAGGCCACAAGGCTCCCTATCTGTCTCTGATACGACTCCCTCGGCCTACATGGGGAACATCTCCTTCGCCTTCTCCTGCTCCCTTCCTCCTTAATCCCCTTCCTCCTCCTCCTCCTCCTCCTCCTCCTCCTCCTCCTCCTCCTCCTCCTCGTATTCGTCGTGGTCGTCGTCGTCGTCTTTGGGGTCGGCGGCACCGGCCGTAAGGCCTTAGCAATAAAGGGGAAACCAATCCCCGCTGCGACGACGACGACGACGACGACTTCGACTACAACCGCGACTACAGTTACGACTAACATCGCGACTACAATGACGACTGCAACCACGAGTACCGCCACGACTACAACCACAACTACTGAAATATACATTTATATATTTATATATTGCAATATTCATGAGGAGATGCTCACACATCCTCTCGCGTGTAGGGTAGCCCGCACAGGATTGTCCCCTGGGAGAAACAGCCCCCAGCATGATCCAGCCCGGCCAACAATAGAGAAAATCATATACGCCGCGACGGCGACGATAACGACGACGACGATGACGGCGGTGACGACGACGACGACGAGGACAACGTCGTCGACGACTACGATAACGACCACCAGGAGCAGCAGGAGGAGAACGAAGAGGAGGAGGAGTGGCAAGAGGAGGCGGGACGAGTTTGTTCCCCGCCGAAACAAACCGGAGGGAAACAGGGGTGCGCACGACTGAAGACCTCCCGAAAAGAGCCTCTGGGGGCCAGGCTCCTTTTCATATCCCGTGCGCCTCGCGTTTTCTGGGGCAGGGAGCCCGAAACTCCAAGCTGCAGTGGATATGGACACAAGTGTTACCTGGAACGCACAGAGACATGCTAGTACTACATGTCCTCCTCGGGGGC